GCTGATAAATCCCGATAGGCTCATTTACATCTGAGGGTGCTTAAGGAAGTAGCCCTAGAAATAATGCCATACATTGGTGGTTATATTCCAAAATTCATGACTCTCTTGGAGTAATTATTATAAATTTGAGGTAGCTAAGGTAACTCACTATTTGAACAGGGACGGCAATAGAAAGTAGGGAATTGTAGACGTGTGACCCTGAGATAGGTAGGGGTGAAGGTGCTCGAGTCCATGAAGGAGGCTTTTGCAGAGCACTTAGAAAATAGTAACGGAATCGTACAGAATCAAAATAGATTTTCACAGCAGAAATTATGCTTGACAAATCTATGGGATTCTTGGAGAATGTAACTCGTCGAGTTGATCAGAGGAGCCAATGGATGTGTTTATTTGGCTTTTAGAAGACTTTTGATGAAGTTCGACATAAGAGATATTTATCAATAAAATGCATAGTGGTAGTATATTGGGATGGGTAGAAAATTTGTGAGCGGACAGGAAACAACAAGTAGCACTAAATGGGTGTTATTATTTTCTAAATGGGAGGCAGGTAATTGTTCGTAATCACGAACTGTTCATAGGACCACAGTATTCACAATATATTTTAAAGGTTTCGATGAAAAAGCTAAAAGTAATATGTCACAATTTGCAGGTGACACACAGCCAAAAGGGAGGGCTGTGAGGAGGATGCAGAGATGCTGCAGTGTCATCTTTATAGGCTGAATGAGTTTACAAAATGCAGTATAATATGGACAAAAGTGAGATTATCCACTTTGGTGGCAAATAAAGAAGGATGGATATTATTTTGTAAAGCTGAAAATTAAGATATGAGTACGTTCAAAAAGACCGAGGGGAGTTTCCAAAATTCACGACCAAAGAAACTGGTTGAAGCCAAAAAATGTGTTTTTAATGCTGAAATAGGTATTTCTCTTGTGGCAAAACAAATCAAGGGATACAGTGGGATGGAAGGATTAAGGCTCAATGATCAGCCATGATAATATTTACTGGCAGAGCAGGGTTGAAGGATCAAAGTTGCTCTATCTTCCACGTTTCATGCCTTTCTTTTTCCATGTCCAAATTAAACAGAGAGAAAAAAAAAACTGGAAGTGTTTTTAAACTTGATTAGCTACTCAAAGCTTTAAGTATTTAGGGGCCAATTTATTAACTTTATCTCTTGAACATATGCAAGAATCGATGGTGCAATCAGAGAAGTGAAGAACTAAGTACTGGACCCATATACGTCCTGTGCTACATTGATGAACCAGCCGATGTTCCCTCACACGATAACTGGGCAGTGTATTGATTATATATTAGCCTGGAGTACTTAAGTATCAAGCCGTCTCATCCAATAGATGTTCAAGCGTTAGCAGTGACTGCAAAATGAGATTTAACTCCTCTGCAGATATGTTGATGTGGCAGCCGTGGACCTTGGAACAATAACGGCTGAACGAGCACTGACAGGACTAAAACCTACGTCAAAATGGTGGATAATTAGGCTGCTGCATCATTAAATTCATGTGCGAATATAAAGATGTGCAACTGTAACAAACAACAACTACCTGCAATAATGAACAAAAGCCCTTTCAGCCAATTGCATCTGTGCTAATCAAAAATATCTATGGGAATACTCTGATACCAAATTCCAGCACTTGGACCATAAACCTGTATACTTTAGCGAAGCAAATGCTTTTGTAATTAGTTAGAGTGTTAGAATCATACTGCATATGAACACTTCCTTCAGCCCACCATGCATAAGCTGACTATCAGATATCAAACTACACGAACTTCATCTATTTGCACTAGGTCCATTGCCAAAGACGCAGTGTAATTTTAACTGCTCATGTAGATGTTTCTTAAATGTTGTGACAGTGCTTGTCACCAGCATGCTTTCAGGCAGCACGTTATAAACATCTACCATCAACTGGGTAAAACAAGATTTGCAGACCTGCTCTAAAGCCTTAGCTCTACAATTTAAATTTGTGCCCTCTGGTTTAAGGGACGAGTAGAATCATAGAATCCCTACAGTATGGAAGAAAGCCATGCAGCCTATTGTGACCACACAGATCATCCGTAGAACTTCTCACCAAGATTCAACCCACCCCCTTCCTGTTCCCGTAACCCTGCATTTCTACATCCCAAGAAACTAGAAGAAAGTATGACCAATACACCTAACCTGCACACCTTAGGACAAAGGAGTGCAAATATAGCACCTAAGATAAATGCACATGGACATGGGGAGAATGTGCAAACTCCAAACAGAGGGTGAAATCGAATTCAGGTCACTGGCGCTGTGAGACAGGAATACCTACCACTGAATAACCGTGTCATCCGCGTCTTCTGCCATTGGGAAACCGTTCACACAATCTGTTCCATTTATGTTTCCCACAGTTTTGTATATCTCAATCAAATCCCTCCCCCCAGGCCTAACCGCGACATACACCAGATTTCTCTTCTCAGGAAGCAAACACAGCACATCTATTCACACCTGGTAATCGAAACATTTCATCCCAGGCAACGTTCTGTTGTATCTCCTCTTGCTCTCAGTGCAATCACATTCTTCAGGTCGGGCGGTGAGCAGAAATATACACAATATTCCGTCTGTGATCAAGCCAAAGTTTTGTAAAATTGTAACAAGACTTCAGTGCTCCTACATTCTACACACTGGCTAACAAAGTTTAGCCTCCCGTAGACCTTCTTCACCAAGGTTACTATTTGTCGTGACACTTTCAAGGATCTTTGGACTTGTGCACAAAGATCCCTTTGCACCCCAGCACACCTTGTAAATTGTGCGCATCCTTCCCTTCTAAAACCTCCTGAAATACATCACCTCAGACTTATTAGGATTAAATTCCACCTATTATCGCTCTGTCCAAATCATTAGCTGATCAATATGAGATTGCCTTCAGAGAGCATCCAATTCAGTACTAATAAAGTCACTAATTTCTGTACTGGCTGAAAACTTGACAATTGTACCTTCTACTCGTACATCTGAGTAATTAATGTACATAACAAATAGCAAGGGTCCCACCATCTGTCCCCATGGTACACCAGTAATCACAGGTTTCCAATTACAGAAAAAAAAAAACTCCACCATCACTCTTTGTCACCCATTTGCAGGACAATTTTGGATCCATTTGACAACTTGGTTTGGATCCCATGGGCTCTTACCTATTGGATCAGTCTTCCATGTGGGGTATTGTCAAAGGGAATTGCTAAAATCTTTATAAACCATATCAACTGCTCTATCTTCGTCAATATATTTAGCCACCCTTTTGAACGCCTCGATTGGATTAGTCTGACAGGATCTTTCTCTAACAAATTCGCGCTGACTATCCACGATCAATCCCTGTCTTTCCAATTATTGATTATCCTGTCCATCTGACTTTTTCCAATAATCTCCCTGTACTGACTTCGGATTAGCTGTTCTTCAATTATCTGATCTATCCGTTCAGTCCTGGCACCACAACGGAGCAATGTTAATTATCCTCCATCATCTATCATTTCACCTGTAGCGAGTGATGCATTAAATATCTCTATCTCTTCCATTTCCTCCGTCACAGCCTGGTATACATCTCATCATGCCCTCTGGAATAATGCAGTTATATATTCTCTAAAACATCTAATGCCTTCGCCTCATGAATGTGATCACATTCCAGAATCTCATCATTCTAACTGAAGACACGGTTATTTCTTTAGTTTCTTAGTGTTTTACCTCTACCACGCTTATAGAAAGTGGCATCTAGATTCGCACCACCCTCAAAAATTTTATGCCTCAATTCTCTTCCAAGCCTACTGTCATTTACATTAAATTTATGTTCACTCTTTATTAGTCCTCTGTGATGGAGGCTCAGTACGCTTTTGATACCCCTCATTTTCCCTTTTACATCCCAGCCATGTCTCCTCTCAAACATCTTCTACTCTGAGGTAAACAACTCCCATCTGTCCAATCTCTCTTTATTACTGAAATTCTGCGGCCCAGGCAACATCGTGGTAAATGTCCTCTGGACATTTTCCAATCTTGACAATTTTCTACTCTAATGTGTATTCCAAAACTGCAAGTGATGTTCCAAATGTGGCCTAAAAACGTTATATACAGTTCCAGCATTCCTTGGTCCATGTAAACTCTATACCTCAACGAAGTCGATGCCACAACTAAAATGTAAGTATCCCATGTGAATTCTTAATCACTTTAACCTCATGTCATGAAATCTGAAGTGAATACTGTACACATGTACGCTAAAGTCCTTCTAATCTTCGTTCCTTCCCGGGGTCCTACCTTTAGTCAAACACTCCTTTGCTTTGTTTACCCTGCCCAAGTACATCATCTCACATTTATCCAGACTGAATTCCACTTACCAATGATCAGCATATCTAGCCAGCCGTCTATATCCTACTTCAGATTAAGGTAACCCTCCTCACTATTTAACTCTGTGTATTTTTTTTCTACTTGAGTGTGTCAATGAAATCTTTGTTGTGACGTTCTTAGAACTCCAATGTCACTTTCTAAAATAAGAAAAAAAATCAAATGATTGTGAGTGTTCCAAAGATTTGTGTGAAGGGCACATTTGGTGCCTTACTGCTCTTCTTCAGAGTTATTCAGAAATCTAACTGACTCACGGTCCACAAAAAGATAATAACTTCCGTACCACATCATCCACCACTTGCGCCCACCATAGGTCAGTTAGCGCCTGGAAGCACGTGTGGCTACCGCTGTTTCCATCAATGCATCAAAACACAGGCCGTAAGCATTTGTCATAAAGTTCTATAATTGGATTAATTATGCAGGGCACACTATGCAACCGAGTCATATCTCGTGGAAAAGTTCAAATCCTATCAAAACATTGATGCCAGCGGGGAAGCAGCTGTATTATTCTGTTTTTGGGTGTAATAACTGTGATGAATTTGAAACAACAGAACTTTTTAAATTAACTCCCCAGAGCATGGTAAAACGTATAAATAGCACATCGTCTGTGTAGTGTGCTACATGCTCAGGGCATCTGATAGGAATGCACGCACCACCAAAAAATCTGCTGTTTTCCATTTATTATCCGGTCCTTGCAGTTATCGGGATTCCAGGTAAAATATGTTCGTTGTTCACAGCTATGTGCATCATTGATTAGCTGAATTTCGTCTCTCGTTAGCGAGAAACATGTCTCCAATATGCATATGGAATTTCTCCTATGTTATTCAAATTTACTCCATTTCATTTTAACGGTATTAATTCTCCTTTTCAAATCTATATTTTTGTGCATTTTTGTCACACGCTCTCCGTTCAATTTGTTTAGTTTATCCCAATCAATCTTAAAATACTGCAATTTAACCAAGTATTTTTTCGATGTCATAATGACTCACTTTACCAGCATGGCAACATTTCATTGATTTGCTCACAGATTTTCTACTGTATTTCGTCCACAATGCATGAT